TTAAATAGTTAAAGTACCTACTGATGCTTTAAGATAACAGGTCAAATGATCAGTTGGTTTGTTTCGAATTAATCCGACCCGCATCACTTGTGGTCAAGTCGACTGAGTGGGCCTATTTGCATCGAGAACCTCAACAGGCCCATCTCAGTTTGGGTCAACCCCGCTCATCATTTCATCCGTGAATGTATCTTAAGATCTAGCTTCCAGCATCGCAGCGATGTGTTCAAAATTTTGGTATGTTCAAATTGTAGTGAGTGGTTAAATAGTTAAAGTACCTACTGATGCTTTAAGATAACAGGTCAAATGATCAGTTGGTTTGTTTCGAATTAATCCGACCCGCATCACTTGTGGTCAAGTCGACTGAGTGGGCCTATTTGCATCGAGAACCTCAACAGGCCCATCTCAGTTTGGGTCAACCCCGCTCATCATTTCATCCGTGAATGTATCTTAAGATCTAGCTTCCAGCATCGCAGCGATGTGTTCAAAATTTTGGTATGTTCAAATTGTAGTGAGTGGGTTTTGTATTCTTTCTCACCATAGAATTTCATTGTGTAAGTTTTCTTTTGATATTGCTGGGTCATGAGCTTGAATATTGATGCTCAAAGTCTCAAAATGTAAGTTTCTTTTTTGCCGTGAATAATGAATATTTGGATGTCATCTACCGGTGGCCATTGGTCATTTCTTTTTTCTCTGGGTTTTACTCTCAATCTTGCCAAGTGTTTCACTCGTCTAATAATATCCTATATTTTCATTTTGTTATGAATATGCACACGCACACGCACACATACATGCAGACATATATGTGCGTGTCTCTTTGCACGGGCGCATGTGTGTGTGTCTGTGTGTGTGTGTGTGTATAAACAAGACTGACAATTGAATGCAGTGGCATAACTCTATTGGTTGGTGTAATAATATCATATATTTTCATTTCATTATAAAAGAAGCACAGGGTTGCATGATGATGATAACATAGTAGTTTATTACACGAGTGAAATGCCAGATCTTTTTATCAAGATGATTACATCAAGATATCGTTATCATACATAAATTTGTGTTACTGATTCCTGACGTGTATCCTATTTCATGAGTTGTCCGTGTCTTTCCTCAGTGTGCATTAAGAATGGTTTACTTGAAAACACCCTTTGCACATTACTATACGTCGGATAATATTGATTCTTGCCATCTTATTCACATTTTGCAGTTATGTTTTCTGTGGTCTTCGGTATAAGCATGTAATATTAGCATCATGCTGAACCATCATGATTGATTTTATGAGCTGGGGTTCTGACACGTTATGCCTAACTTACATATGAATTTCATGGCAGGGTTCAGCTCATACAGGCCCCGCATTAACACCTGTGGAAGTTCTGGTTGCTATTCATGATATTGATCCTGTGAAACATGGGGTTGCGCTTAAAAAGGTATGTTGGTCATATGTTCATTCACACATACACACATGTTTTCAAAAGATTAATCAATGGGGATTTTGTTTTTTCAGATAACAGATGCTTGCACGGCTTGTTTTGAGCAACGTACTGTTTTCACTCAGCATGTCTTAGCAAAATTCCTTAGCCACATGGTATCCATTAGTGCTGACATATTAATTCTCACCATTTAGTGTAGGAAACAGTCTTATATGATTATGCAATCATTTCAGGTTGAACGTGATCACCTGCCCATGCTTTTTATGAGAACAGTTATTCAAGCTATTGGCACTTACCCTGCCCTGGTAATTGCTTTACATATATGCTCCTTCAGTCCTTATTACTTGTATAGTATGTAGTAAGAAATTAGTAAAAGTAGCTGTCATGACACCAGGTAACAATTCCACCTCCCATCGCTTCCCATTCAGTAAAACTTGATTAACATATGTAAAGAAAACCTTTTATTAGCAGTAATTTCTTAGAATATCTCTTTATTACATTGGATTTTTTTTAGTCGGGTGTTTTTAAGTGATATGAAAGGGATATTTAAGATCTCATTAGATGAAGGTTACAATATGTCATGTTGAGGGGTAAGTCAACAAAAGTGTCCCCCCATCCCCACCCACCCCTCGGCTGCTCTCCTTTTGCCAACAAAACATTGTCATGCCCCAGTTTATTGTTGTGAAAGCATCCTTTAGAAATGGGATTATTCTTCTGTCCTTTTTGCAGGTTGATTTCGTCATGGGAATACTTTCAAAACTTGTGAATAAACAGGTATAGAATTCCATTTTTTTCAACATGTATTTTCTTTTCCTATTCATTTAAATGTATGTGTGCAGCCTAACATACACAAACATGAAAAAATTGTTAACTAGACAATCACACCTCCCTCTTTTCTCTTTTTCCTGCTATGATTTCTTTCGTAGAAAATTTCCTTTTGGTTCTATTAAATATACAAGCTTGCATCCAAATTCTAAGTAATGAGATGGAGAAACGTAAAAGGCCAAACTATGTTTTCTTCTCATGATGGTAGGGCAAGGCATAACTACATGTGATAGAGGGTATTTTTATTGGCATTCTGCAAACTTTGATGAAGGGGGTTGGTACCTTGGGCCATTTTATATTGTCATGAATACTATCAAATATGAAAACCTGATGTTACATCGAGGCAAACTTGACAAATCTACGTATTGGACCTGTTTAAGTAGAAGTGAATTGCTGGACTTTATAATTGAAAGAACTTTGGACTACTAAAATGTCTTTGACAAGTATGATGATCCTTCTTGATTTATTTGAATAAATATTTCTTTACCTATGCTGATTTCTCAATCATGTTGGAGCTCTTTTCTCTACTTCAGCAGAGAGAGATCACCATAAGTGTGTGTTAGTTGCAAAATCATGAAAAACATATGATAGTTCTTTGTTGAGCAAAATTGTAGGAGAAACTTCGGGAATAGTCTCCTCCGCGAGCAGAACAGAGTCTGGGGATAATTCCCTTGGCAATAGATGAGAGGCTCAACCTCCCAAATGAACCTAGAAATCTCTCTGATCTAAAACTAGAAGTCTCTTTATTTGAAATTATATAAGTTCTTCCCGTTGATTATGCCTATCATCACGTGCAAGTTTATGTTTAGACTGTTCGAACTTCCCTTTTTATCATACAGATATGGAAGATGCCGAAGTTGTGGGTGGGATTCTTAAAATTAGTGTCTCAGACACACCCACATTCTTTTAATGTCCTGTTACAGGTGCTTATTTGTTTGTTTTTTAATTTGAGTTGTCATTTTTCCCCTTACATTACAAATATATTCATGCAAAATTCTATCTTGCAGTTACCTCCTCCGCAGCTCATGACTGCTTTGAATAAACATGCTAATTTACGAGGTCCCCTTGCGGCTTATGCCAATCAACCAAACATAAGGACCTCATTGTCTAGGTACTGTTCCAGTACTTATCACTGATGTTGGTTAATTGCAGATAGACCCCCTGTACTATTACCCAATAGTGGATAGACCCTCTGAGTAAATCTTTTTTACCACCCTAAGAGAGGAAATTGTTCTTTCACAAGTAGACCCCCTGATGGTATAAGAGTCAAAAAGAATTCATTCCAGGGATTTATCTGCAACAAATTGAACTCAGGTGCTCTATCCGTGATGATAGAACAGTGGGTCTTTCTGCAATTACCACTACTATTTAAGGCATGGATTTATAAATCAATATGATACTAAATGATTCACATGTTTGGAATTTTGAATTGAAATTACTTTTTTCCCCAAGATAGGTTGTATTTTTCACCGTCTTCACATGCACTCAAAAATCGAATTGAAGCGATGCCATATACTATCCACATGCATTTGCAACTGAAAACAACCAGTATACATTAACAGTTCTATTCTCTGACTGATGTTTCTGTTTCATACTAAATGCAGGCAAACTCTACAAGTATTAGGTCTTAATGAGCCACAGCATGCATCAACTATGCCATTTACTAGTTCTGTGCATGGATCAACTTTGTCGTGACATTTAAGTCCACTGAGTCCTTTGAGTATGAGTTTCCGACTAAGGAAGAAGTCTTGCTGGCTGCCTGTGCACGGGCACTTGTATCAGAAAGAAGGGTGAGCCAGCGGCAGTGGCTCTTGGGGTTAGAAAAGATGGTGAATTTCAAAATCTAACAGCAGCTTGGAGACAAGTTTGTTTTCCCAAGCTCCTTGCCAAATTTCAGGGTTAACTTTTAAACATTTTTCTTTTCGTTTTCTGTTCTTTTTGGGTTTTGTGACTTGTATATAAATTTAGGTTCAATCATAAGTGTTGTAGTATTATTTGAAATTTTAAATAAATAAATCTGAATATATGTGTGAATGTGTTGTAGTGCATAAAGATTAGTGGTGACTAAACTAAAGTCTGCTTCGTATTGCATCATGTAGTAACTACCGTTTCGAAGGTATTTAAACGTATTTTGAGTTTCTCCCTTAGTGTCATCTTTACTATTATCAAAATTGATATTTACCATTTTTTTATTATTTTATTTTATTTTATTTTATTTTGTTTTTGTTATGGAATACCATATTTACTTGTTAACATCTTTGCAATGTCACACATATTTAAATTTCTAGCATAAAAAACCTATTAAAGTTTTCAGCATAAAAAACACGTGCGCTAATAAAAATACCTTGACCCCGAACACATACAAAGCACGTGTCCAATTAATTATAAAAAAACAAAGATTTTTTCAATATTAGTCCTCCAAATCTTTCATGTTTTGATATTAGACACTAAAATGATCATACTTTGAAATTAATCCCCCAGATTGATGTCCTCTTCTACTGACTGGCGTCATCCTCGTCAGAGAGGGTTATAGAGGTTGTTTTGTCGATCTTTTGCCCCTTGTCTAGGGTTTAGGGGGTGTTTTTCCTTGGTTTGGAAGGGGTAGGGAGGGAGTATTGAGGGGAGGTGATATTAGGGCTTGGGGATTTGGATTAGGAGGTCCATGGATGCTAGACAGAGACTAATGCCAAATATGGAAGATTTGGAGGACAAATATTGAAAAGAAACCCTTTAAACTTTTTTATTAATTAGGACACGTGTAAAACACATGCCTTGGTCAGGGGCTAAAATGGCTAATTCACGTGTTTTTTAGGCTGAAAACTTAAATGAGTGTGATATTGCAAAGATACTAGCAAGTAAATGTGGTATTAAAAATATTAAAGATGGTAAGTATCAATTTTGATAAGAGTATAAGTGGTTTTTGTGTAAAATTCCTATTTAAAGAGGGGGGAAAAAGGCAAGTACCATTAAGAACTATAGTTGCTCATTCAACATGCAAAAACAAACCTTAATTTTGTTATAATAAAAAAAAGCTAATTCCCTCCTGCTATGCATGCAATACTGATTTATACAGCTTACATATATAGATTAGGAACTATAAAACTATCATTATATACATATATACCGATATCTTTTCTCTTCAACATGCAAAACATGTTACGAACTTCAGACTTCTGATTTAGTTTTTTTAAGGGCTTGAAAAGCATGCTCTATTGGTGCTTGCTGCAATGCAATTGCTATATTTCTGTTTCTGAACACTCTCATAGAATAGAATGCTATATACCATCCATAGGTGGCTAGGGAATTAGTTTCGAAAGGTACATACCATTCATGAGTGACTCGGGGATTAGTTTGGAATTTTTAACTCTTTTATTTATGATGCAAGCCTCCTCATTCCTATCAAGGTTGATACTGCTTATGGACCACTGAGCAAATTCTAATCTTTGAACATTAATGTCTCACGGACCCAAATAGGGGACCAAAGGCATGGGATATGTGAGATGTCAAAACATCATAATATAAAATCTATTGACATTCTTTAACTTTTTTTTTTAGGTGGAGGAGGAGGTTGTCTGCTTATGGACCACTGAGCAAATTCTAATCTTTGAACATTAATGCCTCACAGACCCAAATAGGGGACCAAAGGCATGGGACATGTGAGATGTCAAAACATCATAATATAAAATCTATTGACATTCTTTAACTTTTTTTTTTGGTGGAGGAGGAGGTTGTCTGCTTATGGACCACTGAGCAAATTCTAATCTTTGAACATTAATGCCTCACGGACCCAAATAGGGAACCAAAGGCATGGGACATATGAGATGTCAAAACATCATAATATAAAATCTATTGACATTCTTTAACTTTTTTTTCGGGTGGAGGAGGAGGTTGTCTGCTTATGGACCTCTGAGCAAATTCTAATCTTTGAACATTAATGCCTCACGGACCCAAATAGGGGACCAAAGGCATGGGACATGTGAGATGTCAAAACATCATAATATAAAATCTATTGACATTCTTTAAATTTTTTTTTTTGGTGGAGGAGGAGGTTGTCTGCTTATGGACCACTGAGCAAATTCTAATCTTTGAACATTAATGCCTGGGACCAAAGGCATGGGACATGTGAGATGTCAAAACATCATAATATAAAATCTATTGACATTCTTTAACTTTTTTTTTGGTGGAGGAGGAGGTTGTCTGCTTATGGACCACTAAGCAAATTCTAATCTTTGAACATTTATGCCTCACGGACCCAAATAGGGGACCAAAGGCATGGGACATGTGAGATGTCAAAACATCATAATATAAAATCTATTGACATTCTTTAACTTTTTTTTTGGTGGAGGAGGAGGTTGTCTGCTTATGGACCACTGAGCAAATTCTAATCTTTGAACATTTATGCCTCACGGACCCAAATAGGGGACCAAAGGCATGAGACATGTGAGATGTCAAAACATCATAATATAAAATCTATTGACATTCTTTAACTTTTTTTTGGGTGGAGGAGATTGTCTGCTTATGGACCACTGAGCAAATTCTAATCTATTGACAGGTGAGGTGTCCCCATTCGGTTACATGATGCACTACTTATGAACAGTGTATCATGCAACCGGATGGTGACACCTTACACGTCTCATGCCTTGGGTCCCCTATTTGGGTCCCCGTAGCTAACACCCATTTTTGAAACCTCCATGAATAAAGATACCCGCTAACAAATAATAATAATAATAAGCTAAAATCCTTTGCGAATCTCTTCCACGGAATGCAAGAAGAACCAACCAAATATCGATACCTGTATTTATCCTGGGAGGCGCTTGATCTACCTTCAAGATAGCAATATTTTCCATGAGATTTACTTTATCAAGTACACGTATAACCTTTCTCAGAACGAAGGACGTCATAATTGCAGCCATGAATTCGGTAGTACATAAATAGGGTAAAAAAGAGCATAAAGGAAAACTGCATTCAAACACAAGGATGAGACACTAGCTATTACACCGTGCGTGTTCTTTCACATCAGATAATTTTACACTGAATAAAAATAGTAAAACTAATAAGCCATGTCTCCACTTATAATGAGCGTGGGACTTTGTTATGGCTAACTTGCCTCATTGGAGAGAAATCGCTCAGGCTACACATCAGACGCTAAATCTCCTTGCCATTTCTGCGGCGAGAGTTCAAGCTCAATCGCCAAAAACATAATTACAGAGGCTTCGAAAGAAGCTTTTAGAATACATCTGGGTGGAAACGACCAGGAATAGAGCTGGATTCCTGTGCTCTTCGCAGATGAACTTGCAATGAGTAGTTGTTCATCTGCACCAGGAAAGTAAACATCTCAACAGCCTTCCTTACTCCTAACTTTTTAGCAAGAACTTCGGGGGGTTTTTTTTTTTTTTTTTTGAATTAAGAATGAAAACAATTGTAATCTGAAACCGAAACCCAAAGGGGATTTATCTACAAGTGAAATGCAATTCAGTGCCCAGGGTTTTCCGTGGCCTGAATAGAACATATAACTGTAGGCGTAAGAACTTCCAAGGGCTGAGACAAAACGCACCCACTCTTGGCTACATTCGATTTTTTGATGAAAAGAACAGAACAGCCATAATATTGAATGCAGGAATTCAAATAAAAGTACTCAATCGTGAATTAAGTTACCTCCAATGTCCTAATTTGCTCTTGGCACTGGCTTATGATATGCTTCAATTCTTGCACTTCCTTCAGCTTCTCCTCGTTTTCCAAATTTTTTTGATGCTGAAGTGAAACAGCTTTCTTCAAGATATCATTCTCTCTCGACAAACATTGCAGTTGTTCTTTAAGAGAAGCAATCTCCTGCTGCTTAAAAACCAAGAAAGCGATGTTACACGTCATTTAGCTTCTCTTTTTTCCCCCTAATCAAGGAAAAACGAGGAAGTAATCGAGTATCTGCATACCTCTTTTGATGTGGCAAATTGGTCAATAGCACTTTTATGGAAAGCTTCAAGGGCATTTATGGTGCGATTGCGTACATCATTCCAATTTAACGCACTCTTCATTTCTTGTACAAAATAATCTATCCAGGAAACATTTTGAGGTACTCCAGGTTCAGTCAAACCATCATTCTGATCAGATACTTGCGCATTGATACCATCTGACATGAGAGAGCAAATTAAGGTTTAAAGGAGCATTTTGACGATAAACACATGCAAGAAGTAAGAACAAGCTACTTAGAGGAGATGCAAGCTAGTACAACATTGAAAAACATTCCTAACCTTCAGCAGTAGTGTCATTTGATTGGATCAATGAGCTAAGGATTGCCGATTCATTTCTTGCAGAGTCGTCACCGAGGCAAAGAGCATGAAGACTCTTGATGGCATCATCAATTATGTGATCATGAGTTTTTAGAACTGTTTCCACAACCTGAAGAGGTATCTAATACGAATTAGTATTTTCATATCAGAAGATTAATGCCTCATCACAGGGGAAAAGAAAGATATCCTGTGGAGACCAATGAAAATCAAGCCGATTGCTAATTCCTCAAAATAAGACACAACTTCTTTGTTAGAGGGGCATAATCATAAATACTAAATACACAACTTCTTTGTTAGAGCGGCATAATCATAAATACTAAATGGCTAAATTAAAACTAAAATTTCCACATGCCAATGTTTGTAGAAAGCAGATAGTTCAAGGTTTGTTACTTCATCAATTCAAACAACTTAACAGAGCAATCTTCAGACAACTTATATAGAGAATGTTTTCCCCGGATGTCATGGAGCTATCCGATGTAAACATAGCAGGCTTATTATTAGTTCATAAAGCTCTTCATCAGAATCTCACAATCAGGTCCATTATACTTTTGGCTTCTTTCAAGAATCATCTCCCCCGCAACATGGTTATAAACATCAGCACAGTGCACGCGTTTCTGGAAAAAATGAACCCAAAAGCTAATCTATTGGTCATTTGATTTCTCACGGACCAGTCTCGATACTTTTAACTGCCACCTATATAGACCATTATCCTTCTACTTAAGTCCCTACTTAAAGTAACTCAACAGATGATGGCGTTATGGTTGTAGTTCATAAGAGAACAGGACATAAGCAAAGAAGCTCCTTCTCACAGCCCTCAACTCTCTATTAAATCATAAAATATAATAGATAAATATACTCTCACCTCGAACAGTAGACATCTACCTCTCCAAAATGATGCAAGCCTAGAGCCCATCGACTCCTTTTAATTATATTCCAAACCCTAAGCTAACCGTTCGGAAACTAATAGTTTGTTCTGTTTTAGGAATCAGAATTTGGCTCCAAATTAACTCACCCACCATTACCAACAGTAGGACTACAGATTCTTTGCTCCGAAAGCTCCACTAATAAATCCAACCCACCGACAACTTCAATCGAGTTAGTTATCAGAGATTCCAAATTCATTACCAAGATCAGATTTTTACGAAAAGGAAAGTCCACTAAAAAAGATTAAAAAAAAAAGAAACCGCAAACCCAACTCCTTAAAAACAGTCTTATTTGCACTTTACTAATACCCCAAAGTTTCACCCTTTTTAACTTTAGCATACCGAAATTCTATTTTGATATTTAATTGAACGCTTCCTCGGAACTCAAAAAAAAAACGGAAATTTGACGATGAAACTCTAGAAAAATACAGCTTCAGGCACTAAAAGTTAAAAAGAGTGAGACTTCGGGGGCATTAAAGTGCAAATAACCCGGGAAATAAATTAACGGGGGGGGGGGGGGGAATCGACGGAGAGTGGGGAAATTAATCACCTCTCGAATCCCATTCGAGGGAACAATTCGGACGAGGAAATCGAGACGCTGTCGTCGGATCCGAACCCTAAATCAACGGGTCGAATGGGGGAACCGCAGAAGCGAATCTTCTTGGGGGGCGTCGCCGACGACGGAGATCCGAAGATTTCCTCCAACCCTAGACGCTTGCCGCAGATCCCTGCAGACATCGCAGCCTCCTCAAAACCCTAATCTCTAGCAGGCAAACCCTACGGATCGATCGATCCCCAATTTTCCCCTTTTTTTATTTTTTATTTTTTATTTTCCGCTGTTTTTCCCCCCGGTCCGCGAAACGCTTGAGTTCTGTTGCGAGCGAGATTTTAGCAGAGAGAAGTGAAAAGACACGTTAGATCGCTTTAGTTGGAGTTGGAGGGACGTTGAGTTGTGACCGATGTTTGGGACTCGGCCTCTTGATGATGCGGTGGACTTATTTTAACGGTTGAGATTTTCTGGTGTTGTCCTGTGGTCGCCAGGTTGTGCATAGTTAGGCGGCGATTGTAAACGCGTCGGATTTAGATTTATCTTGTGGTGAATGGACCCAAGAAATGTGGGTCCCAAGTGTCAGCGCAACGTTGAATTTGCGATCGTGAGGTAACGCTAATGATTATGCAGCCTGACACGCGCATAAGGGGCTGTTTGGTCCCAATGTCAGCTTTCATCACTTTCAATTATTTGTTTGTAGTTGTGAAAATAGTGTAAAGTGATTTCATATGGTGATGTGGCATGTAAAGTGGTTTCATAAAAAAAAAGACATGATTTTAGGAGAAAGTTAACATTGAAGAAAGAAAAAAATAATAAAAAATAATTCCAACAAATATGATCATTTGAGTAGGGATCACTTTTTACACTTTCCAAACAAACAATTAAAGTTCCATTTTGCAAACCAAACAAGTGTTTTATGATTCCAATGGAATAAAAAACAAACAAAGAAAATTATAAAAGTGAAATTGATGAGGTGGACAACAACTTTCCAAGTTGTGTCATAAACACACAACTTTACCAACAACAACCAAACAGCCCCTAAATGTGTTTTTTCCAAAAAATCACAGAATCTTTAGGGGCTATTTGTTTCGTTTCCTAGATATAGAGAAATGTAATTCCATGTAAAGAAACACAAGTTTTTAGGTTTCCAAACTTTTTCAAGAAATAGATTGTTTTGGTTTGGTTCGCACAAAAAAATGGTGGGAAACCAATGTTTTTACTTTTCTTGTGTTTGGTTTGCATGAGAAAAAAAGGGAAAACTTTTGTTGATTTGACATTTCCCACTTTTCTTGTGTTTGATTGGTTTTGAAAGTGTTAGAGTCACCATGGTAAGATTACCCCCCACTATAGACAAAAATTATTTGTGCTAGTTATGGGATGTAATCTTAATCATATAAAAGTGCGAATGTATCATGAACAAATAATAATAACCCGAATGAATTATAAATTTCTGTTTGTATTAATGAAATCATACAAAACCTGAAATCATCTGAAACCTACTGTAACATGAACTGCGTACCTGATTTGACATGAAATATACCTGTTTGAGATGAAAATAATCACACAAAACCTGTTTTCCAAGAAAAAATAAACAAGACATGTAATAACCTGATTATTCATAAATTTTTGAAATACGTACCTGAATTAGCCAAAAAAAATTCTGAAACCTATAAAAACATATAAACGGCCTGAATAGCCATATTTTAGTATATAACATAGCAAATAGCATCGAACCTGATAATTTATGCATGTTGAACTTTATGTGCAAAAAATCATTTGAAAATATTTCTTGACATCATGTCAAATAAATCAGCCACATGTATATGTGAATTATGACTGTGTGCTCAGAACTTGTTCAATATCATCATTGTTAGCCATCCAGTGTAATATCAATAGATATTACAGGTTGCTAATCTCAGAAAAATTGACAATCATCATAGCCTAAATTGAACACCCACAAACAGTATCATAATCAACAAACAGTGCGAAAAATCTGAACACACATAGAACTCCACAAAACATGAGCTCAAATAGAAGTTGAACACCAGAGCATCCACAAACAGTGAGCTCAAATAGAACTTCAGCAAAAGAGAAGATGACATATGTGCACAAAACATAGCACAAACCTGGACACAACAACAAACCCACCAACCATGATTATACCAACAACCAACAAACCATGATTATACCCAAAAACCAACAAACCATGATTATACCCAAAAACCTGGAAGTTGAACACAAACCTGGAAGTTGTCACAAACCTGGACACAACAACAAACCCAAAAACCATGATTATACCAACAACCAACAAACCCAAAAACCATGATTATACCAACAACCAACAAACCATGATTATACCCAAAAACCTGGACACAACAACAAACCCAAAAACCAACCTGGAAGGAAATCACAAACCCAACAACAAACAAGAACATCTTTTAGCAACCAGGAATGAAATCACAAACCCAACAACCAAAAACAGCAACCAGACCAGCAACAACCAGCAACAACAAACCCAAAAAACCACCAACCAACCAACAACCAAACTAACCAACAACCAGCAACAACCAACAACAACAACAACCACCAACCAGTCCAACCAACAACCAGCAACAACCAACAACAACAACCACCAACCAGACCAACCAACAACCAGCAACAACCAACAACAACAACCACCACCACCACCAACAACAACCAACAACAACTACTACCAACAATCCTATAATACGTGTATCACATTACTAAGTTATCATTTATTTTCATTGCTTATACATGTAACTGTGGTTAAAATGTAGATATACCTTGAAATAAGGATAGTATAGCTGGTTGTTAACGATCTCTTGGGGAGTATCATTGATGGATTGTCTCATGTAGCATCCACGCAAACAGATAATTGCTTGTAAAACCTTGTTGAAATATCTACTGACTGTCTCCCCTGATCTTATGAAATGAGATCTCACAATGCGATTTTTAGATTTATGACCCAAAATATTTAGTGTCATGATAAGTTGTTCTTCCACTGATATATTCCTTGAGTCTTTTAGAAGCATATTGTTCCTCATTATACTTACTAGCTTAACAAAAGCACCACTCCGCATTCTAATATAATTCACACAACTATCACTAAAACCATTATAAATACGCTCTATATGTTCAATTCTAGACCTCTCTTGTCTTTTTTTTCCTCACTTGGACCACTACGTATAGATTTACGTCTAGCTTGCATTCTCCTTATGAATGTAATTATTATAACAAGAACGGATAGTGCAGCACCTTGAATCACATTAACAATACTTTGTTCATCGGTACAATCCCCATCACCATCCATCTACGATGCAAAAATCAAATTGAAATAATTAATATACCTACCAAGCATTCATATGCAATGTCAATAATCAAAACTTAAATGACACATAACAAGATCTAAAGTTAATTTTCAGTTAATATTTTCATCAATATTTTCAGTTTCTTTTACGACCATTTAAGATAATTGTCAGTTCATTTCTGTTCTCTTTTCAATTATATTTATGATAATTAATATAATTTTTAGTTAATTACAGTAACATTTTCAGTTAATTACAATTATATTTTTAGATAAATTTCTGTTAATTTCTAGATAACTATAGAAAATGCAAAATTTCATCCTAAATAATTCAAATCATACAAAATTTTTAACAAATCAATTCTGAGTTGAGAATCATACCTTAGGTCTGAAATCAGTTTCCAGGAAGATCAAAGTCGGCAAAAAACCCCAATTTTTTCCCAATAAAGGTGCTGATAAAATCCAGCAAGCCACGAAATCCAGCAAAAAACCCCCAATTTTAGCAAAATCCAGCAAGGAAAGAGGAGGTGACCCTAGCCCTCAACTGTGTTTCCCCCCATTTACCCGAGATCTGACAATAGTACAGATCGGGGGAGATTTCCTCTCGTTTTCGAAGGAAATGGGACGAAGAAAAAAGTCCGATGTGGAGGGGATTTCCGCGGCTGGAGGGACGAGGGGGAGAAGCGAACCAAAGCTGGGAAACGAAAACCCTAGAATGGGTTTTGTCGATGTGGAGCGGGTGTCAGGAGGAGAAAAACGTTTCCACGGCTCAAAACAGCGAACCAAACGGGCCCTTAGCAAAGAAACACCCCCACAGGAACGTAGGGGATTAGTAGTTCCGTGGGTATTTATGCGCGTAACAGAAAACAATTTCTAATTGTCCAATGTCAACCCCAACACTCACCACTCAGATTCCACCGGTACTCGATTCCCAATCCATCTCAATTCCCAAATTCCCCTTCGACCTCCCAAACCCTAGAAAAACCTAGAAGATGGCCATGGCCACTTCCTCCTCCTCCTTGCTCTCCGACGACATCGTCCTCAACATCTTCCCCAAACTCGAGTCCGACGACTGGGCCCGCCTTTGTCGCATCTCTGCTCGCTTCGTCGCGCTGATGCGCTCCATCCTATATCGCTCCAAGTGCCTCGGATTGATCCCCGACCTCGTCTCTTCCACCTCCGGAGAGCCCCCAACAACCGGTTCGCCCTCAACAAGCTCTATGTCTACTGCCTTAGACTCGTCCACGCTAGCGTCCTCCTCGAGAACTCTGATTTTGGCCTCCAAAGCGACATTGTTTCTTAGCTATGACGCAGAAAACCCACAGGACTGCTAGTCCCGTGGGTTTTCTGTGTGGTGTTTGTTGGCCTTCTTGTTTTGATGATGATTTACAAACAATTTACATCTAATATTGTTTGTCTAGTGTTTGTGTTTTATATTTATTCTAGGCAAATAATATGTTGGAGGATGGATGGATTGCGCCATAACGACGATACCAAAGGAGGTTGGCGGAATGTCGGATTGAAGCCTATACAACAATTCAAGTTAAAGATCAAGTTCAAGCTTCATCCGCAACGTGTACCAAGTCAAGCTTAATTGAAGATCAAGATTGCTTGGGTAATGTAGTTTAGGATTTATATTATGTGTGTTAAGTACTCTAAGCTCAATTATCTATACACACACATTTTATTGGTTTCCTTGTATATATATGTAGTCACATATATATACAACACAAGTTTAGTTTTCATGTTTATAAATATGAAATTACATGTTTCATATTTATTATTGTGATTTGGTTTATCTACATAGATATGAAACTAATATATTTTCATATACATACTCATAGGTTTCATTTTCTATTGTATTTGTGAAAATATTGTATTCTTAGTTTATAGACTTCAATATCAGTTTATACATGTTTTACTAAGTCTATAAAAACATTTTACAAAGTTTCAAAAGTTGGTTTATGTCAAAACATCAAAATTCAAGTATCTCATATTTTCATGTTTTGGACTAGTTTGTAAAATGATGATATTTTTCATTTGGGAAGTCCTTTTTGATAACCAGTCATTGTAGCATGTTTATTATCATGTCTACAATCATTCCCCAAAGTTTTACATTTTTTGGAATTTATTTGATATTTTTAAACAGTGTTTTAAAATCAGCTTTGTTTTTCTGGGATGTCAGTTTTCGGTCGACCGGTACGGTCGACCGGTCAATTGACCATTCGTCAGTATTTTTCCAGAGAGTCATCGGTCGACCGGTCCGGTCGACCGAGAGCTCAAATCGGTCGACCGACAGAATTTCCGGTCGACCGACGATGGCTTTTACTGTTTCCAACGGCTAGTTTTTGTACCGTTGGCTGGGTCTTTTGGTCTTTTGTTTTGGGTGTTTTTTGCTGAGATTTCTAGTGGGTATATATACCCCATTGCTGATGTCTTTTCAGATTGATTAAGAGAGTTTTAAAAACAAGTTTAAGAAAGTTTTAAACAAGGGTTTGAGTTTGTTTAGTTTGTTTTTGGGGTTTGCTGTTACAAAGAGGCCTCAAAATCTTCTCATCCTCTCTTTGTGTCTATAGAGAAGTTTTCTAACTCTTTTCCCTAGCAATTTCATTATTGATTTATCATATATTAATTATTGCTAGTTTGCTATTTGAGTTAGATTTCATTTTACTCATTGTTACACACACCCACATTGAGCTTTTAGTATTTACATACATAGTATAGTTGGGTGGTGAGAGATTGTAACTTTGAGTTGTGCTTAATTGAGTTCTCATCCATAGTTGAGAACAATCATTTGTTATATTGTGCTTATTGTGAGAATCACTTTGTAATACACTTGTACACCGAGTGAGGAGTGTGTGGTGAGAGTCGGGGATCGTCCCAAGAGGAGTGGCGTTGGTTGACGTGCCTAGGGAGAGGTTGTAACCGAGCACTTGAGGGAGACACGGCTAGGTCCAACACTTAGTGGGTGTAGAGTGTGATTGCATAGTGTTTGTTGTGTGAGAGTTTTCGGTGAACTTGTAAACCGAGTGTGTAGAAGAAGTTCCGGCTTCCAAACCGGATTGTGTTAGTGGATTTCTCCCCGGGAGTGGGGAGCGGAGACGTAGGACGGAAGGTCCGAACTCCGTGATCATCTTTGTGTGTTTGTGATTGTCTTGGCGTCTCACTTGTGCTTATTGTTCATATCATTCTTGTCGCCATTATCTATTGCTCACATTGTCCACTATCTTGTTTATCTTATTTATGTTTATATCACCATTAGTTTATATATCCTTGCATATATATATCATCATATAGGATATATCACTTTGTGTATATTGCATATTCTTGCCCATAATAGATTGTATACCTATCTTGCAAGAATATAGTTGTTAATTATTTTTAATTGGCATTTAATCGGATTAGATTAGCATAAGACCCTAATCACCCCCCTCTAGGGTCTAACAGTGTTTAGAGAACGGTTAACAAGCCCCTAACACACGGTACCAGTAGTCCCGTGTGTTTTGAAACCCGTATTTTGTAAAATCGACCTCTTTTAAAAAATCGATTTTACTAAATATTTATAAAAAATGACTGTCTTGCTAAATATTTATCAAACTCGGTCTTTTTCTAAAAATTCTCCTCTAGGTAATTGGAAAAATAATTGTTTTTTAAATAGTTAACACGCTCGACCGCAATCGTGGCTGTAGTTTAGTGGTGAGAATTTCACGTTGTGGCCGTGAAGACCTGGGCTCGAATCCCAGCAGCCACACGAGCGATGTAACTTTTTTAGCTGCAGACAATAAAACCGTACCATCTTAATTCTTACATGTAGTTTTCGAAATATGGGCCTTTTTGTTGAGAGGGGAAGTATCCTTCGTGCACGGGCTTTAGGTATTTTAGAAAATTAATTTTTAATTTTAGATATTTTAATAAATTAGTTTTAAACGGTTTCTATTTAAGAGACTCGAATCTAAAATCTTGGTATACTATTATCCACAGGAAAAATGTCAAATTTGAGATTTTCGTGTACTACTCATGGTAATTTACCAATTTGGCTGGCGCCTCTTGGGTTGAAATATGAATGTTAAAGATCCTTTCAACACCCATATTATGTATTTAGCAATATTATTTGTTACAATCAGCTCTCTTTAGATGGGCCTTGATCTTTGATGTAAATTAGACATGATGGATTTGATTTATCGATCCTGATTTTATCCACTCAAGCACTGTAAGCACAATAAATCCTCTATCAAATCTAAATCTAACAAGGGAAAACTTACATGAAGCGATAAGCTTGAGGGCAACTTGTCGAATCTAATAAGCAGAGCGAACTAATTCACTCTTACAGTGAAGTGTACTAGTTTTTTTTTTTTTTTTTTTTTTTTTTTTTTTGATTTGATAAGGGAACTTCCTCATGATTATTGGGACCATTGGTATCAAACCCTCGGGTGTGGCTAAAGATCACCTCTCAATAAACGACCTCGGATATTTCAAAAAATTAAGTTCATGTGGGCACTCCTCAGGTGAGTCGAATCTAAGACCTTGGAGTACTACTCATAAGCAACTTACAAATTCGGCTAGATCCAATAACATTAGATGTCGTCATCGGATCAGGCGGGCCTATGTGCCCGTTCCAGACCCGACCCGCTAACAGCCCTCCAGAAAGCCAGTCATGTTCCTTTCTCTCGGCTTCCAGTTCTAGGGCATCGCACGCGCTCAGGCCATCATGGCTCCGCGCAAAACAAAACCTCAGACCGCCGTCGAGGTACTCCCGCTCTCCGCGTCTCTGTAGATTTATTCCCTCTAATTTGATTGAAATTTCGCATTCGATCCTCAGAATTAAGTTCCCGCGCTCTCTAATTATACGCTTCATTTTTTTTTACGATTCGATGCTTGGATTCTATTATTATGCTGCCCAGTCTCTTATTACTTGGCCAAAGATCAGAAATTTATCACAATCTTATAAGAACCGAGTAAAAATATTTTGCAGCGCATCGTAAAATACTCAAATCAGTAAAATGCGTTCAAAAAAGATTTTTTTTTTTTTTGGGTGATGCAGGGCTCATCATGTTGATTCTCTGAGTCCCTCCCATTCTCGTAATGAGGTTGAGGGTCGTCTGTAGAAAATTGTATGATTATGTCCGGTGTGACCTCAAGGAAATCGCTTTCCCTTCATCTTTGCCCGACCCTCCGCACTTCAAAAAGCGAAGAAAGCTCACCTGGAAGGAGCGCTGGCTGGTTCTGAAGGAAGCGTCGAGGCTCTACGCGGCCAGTTGGGTTCGGGACATCGGTCCGGACCTCAGACCGAACGACTACAAGAAGGATGCGGACGAAGAAGGGGAACCTCGAGGAGGGAACGGTGCGGGCGGCGAAAGGGAGCCCTCGACCCTCGAGGACCTTGCGGTGGCGGCGAGGGGCGGGATGGAGACGCTGAGGCCCGCCCTGCAGCGTGTTTACATGACGCGCGCGTCCGCGTACAGGGACGCGCTGCGTAACTTTGTTGCTGGTTATCAGGAAGGCCTGAAGCAAGTCATGGAGCGGAAGGAGCGGAAGGAGGGGGAGGATGAATCTCAATCTGAGCGGCAGGATGGCGTCTTCGGGAAACCGAGATGATTCTCGCTTTGGATGGACTTATGTAAGCTCTTCTTTCAGACGGGCACACGACTAATCTATAAAACAAGGGGTGCATGTGGTGCACCCCTTGTGGTATCTCTGTCTTGAACTCGCAACCCCTGTGGTTTCGTTGTTGCGGATAAAGCCGCTGGGTTGAGCTTTTTCGACCCGTTTACACCTCGTGAAATTACGCAGGTGAAATTAGTGAGTCTATCTGAGGGTAGTAAAAGAGTCGGAAGAACGTAACCCAGGGCTCTATCTGCAGCAACGAAACGACAGGGCTAGGAAGTCCAGATCATCGATATTACAGATGGTCTATGAACAACTGACCTTAGAAAATATAGCGGAGAAAATACCCAAAATAAAAGAAATCATGAATGTTGGTGGATAGACGCCTATTCTATGCAAATGGATGTTTCACCATTTGAACTCTTCCTTCTTGGAAATGTGGTTTGAGGTTTGTGTTCAGATGCTTGATTCAATACTACTGAAAGCTGTTACCTTGTTGTGTTTGCATGAATCTGTTTCTAGTACTATTCAGCTGAGGTTTTTCTTTGCTTTGCATGTTAATAAAGCATTTGATATTCTTTAATAATACCTGCTCTTCGGAGTTAACAGTAAAGCAGTGTGCCTGGTTATTGTGTGATTGCATTCTTTTTCTGTCAATTTTGGTTCCTTAACTGATTTCATTCTCTCTCTCTCTCTCTCTCTCTCTCTCTCTCTCTCTCTCTCTTGTGTTTAATTTTACAGATGATTGATGATCGAGATTTGGGGTTCTTCTCAAATTCCCTTGGTGTGTTTATATATGTGTTGGTGATGGCCGGTCCAAAATATGAAGCCAACTGAGGTTGTTCCTTTTCCTTCAGTGATGCTTTACACCATGAGGATTCTTTTCATGGAGCACACCGAAAAATCTCACCAAGGTTCACGAATTTTTTTTGTTTATGGTGTTTTTGACATTTGTAATGTAATGAATTATCGGGTGATGGAGCTGCAAGACTTGTAGCTGTGCTTTCAGATTTTGCTGTAAAATCTGTAAAATCTTTCCTTGACATTGGTTGTTAAATATCTAGATTCACTGATGTTTTATTAAGCATTGATTGAACAAAAACTTGTAACAGAATAAATGTTTTGAGGAACCCCTGCAACGGCCCAGATGATCTCTTTTCTGCACCTCATAGGGTTTTTCTGCCTCATTCACTCCGTAGCTTTTCCTCTTTATATCGTATGCCGCAGATTCAGACCCTATACACTTTCACTTTATTAGCTTAGAGCATCTCCAACAGTCTCCCTATCTCATGTCCTACACTAAACATAAGGAGTAGGAGGAGAAAAAGTTGCTCCAACAGGCTCCCTTCGTTGGAAACTAAATATAGAGAATATGATTTGATATTCCAAATCAAGGATAACAAAGTGACTTCCTATATTTAGTCTCAACATAGGGAGCAATGTTGGAGCAATTTTTGCAAAGTTACTCCCTATATTTAGTTTAGGACATGAGATAAGGAGCCATTTGGAGAGCATTGTTGGAGCCACAAAGTCAACTCAATGACACAAGCCAAACTCGACTCACTGGTGGTAGACTCGAGACTCCGACGACGGCCATGCGATAAACGCAGCGTCGGAAGAACTTCGGTTATTCGTCAAAGCATCGAATAGACCGAAAATCGAAGGAGCCAAGAGTTAAAGAAAAGTTGCTCCAACAGGCTCCCTTCGTTGGAAACTAAATATAGAGAATATGATTTGATATTCCAAATCAAGGATAACAAAGTGACTTCCTATATTTAGTCTCAACATAGGGAGCAATGTTGGAGCAATTTTTGCAAAGTTACTCCCTATATTTAGTTTAGGACATGAGATAAGGAGCCATTTGGAGAGCATTGTTGGAGCCATTTGGAGAGCATTGTTGGAACACGTACTCTTTATTTGGCTCCATATTTTCTAGGATAGAGAGATTTGCTCCTCAAATATAGGGAAAACCTAAGATCACTCTTAGAGATGCTCTTATACTCTCTTGAGATCATTGTTCGGTGGGCCTGCAACTTTGAGAATTCCAGGTTCAATTCCGCATACTGCTCAACTGATGAACTTGATCAGTGCGTTCATCTAGATTCACTGAGCTTTGAGAGATATCCTGTAGAACCAGCATTATTCACCGTCTTGAATGCCACATAATTCGAAAAAGTTCGAAGCCAGCAACACAAAAATGAAGTATACGGAAGCCAGCAACACGAAAATGAAGTATATGGTAAATAATTTGCACAATAATCCTGCAGCACGGTGGGCGTAATCGATTTGGCTGTCGTTACAATTACAAATTTTTGTGAACTGAATAGCCATTAAGTACTGGATAACGTATACCTCAAAAAGTCACTCCATAACTTTGTGCAATGCATGAAAGGATACAGATACAGAGGTAAGTTTCAGCACAAGATACTGTTCATACAAAGTAGCTCACACATTTTATGGCAGGGTTACCAACACCACCAACTAGATATCTCCCAACTAGATATCTCCTGCCTGTGAAAACCGTCTCATTTGGCAATAATGATGCAGCCGATAAGCATTTAAACATGTTCAAGTAGAGGATGCTATCTATTTTTTCATATGCATATCAAGCATCAGATTACTAATATACGAGAACAAAATACTGCAGAAAAGATATTTCACCATGCAGCTCAAGTCTTTCCTTATGACCGTGTCCTTGGAGGGGAATTGAACCTTGGCGAGGAACGCAGCTGAGGTTTCTTAGACAACTCTGCTTTTTTTCTTTCAGCTTTCTTTTTCTCACCTGATGCATTCTCTCTATCTTCCAAAGTAACACCTGGTGCAAAAAATTAGTAGTACAATCATAAATCATTTTTACCGACTATATCAATGTAGATGTGGGGAAAAGCTGGAAAAAAAATTCCAAAGAATCACCCGAATTTTCTGCATATGATGCTCTCGTCCTCGCTCTCTTCGTCATGCTTTCACTCCCATCTGGTGTGATATCTTGAGGCTTCTTGCTACAGGATCCTTGCTCCCGTTCATCTGACGAAGCTTTAATTTCTTTGTGCACTGAACGAGTTACTCTTGTAGTCGTGGACTGGAAACTTAGCCTCTGAATTCTTGTAGAATCTATGGAGTCATTTACAGTGGCAGGGCTACTAGCTTTCTTATCTTCTACCTCTTCAGACATTTCACGTGCATTTTGAATCAAATCACTTTTTTCAGGCTGTGGCTCAACATTTGAACTTTTTCTAGAACGTGTCAGCCTTGTAGCATTTACTGGACTAATAAGCTTCGTCTCTTCTAATGAAGCTTCTATTTCTTTGTTCAATGATGAACGAGTTTTCCTTGTATTCAAAGGGCTTGTAAGCTTCTCTCTGGAGGATTTGCCTTTCACTTCATCTGATAAAATTTCTAACCCTTTATGCATTGAAGAACGAGTTACCCTAGGCTTTTTTAAGTTCATACTGTCACACCCTTTCTCTCTTGATTCCTCAGTTGATTGCAGTGGTTTCCCTAGATATGATGATTCCTGAGAAGAGACACCAGATTTCATATATTCATATGTTACATCAAGAGAATGAACTTCAATATGCTCCTTGGGATTCTTTTGAAATAAGCACTCTTGGCTTTCCTTTTCTACATGAGAGAAGGGAAGTTCTCGCTTCAGTGGAGATTCATGTTCATGTACAAATGAAGCCAGAGCTGCACGAGCAGCCAGAGGACTGAGAAAAGGCTTATCCCCTTCCGGTTCCTTTTTGAGGTCGACTTCAGTCTGTTGCTTGTTCTGACTCCTGGTGGTTCTTCGAAGATTATTCTTACTGTTATTTGAACCTAAATGTGACATCAAAGATGCTTTGCTTGCTTTACTTCCACCAAAGTTAACTGTAAAATTTAAAAAAAAGTACAATATTGGGCTTTATCCAAAGAATGAACAAAAGCTCAGTGCAATAAGATTTTCCATCTGCAATCATGTATAAGTAAATGAGTGTAAGTGGAACCTTATGGTTGATGGATATTAGTCACAGCTTTGAAACCGATAGCAGTAATAAAATTTGTTGTAATATGAAGAAGTGCGCATGCATAACTATTTTCATAAGCAAAGTATAGAGAACTTTCTAGCTTAGTTTTTTTTTTCTTTCTTTTATTTTATTTTATGTGTTCTGCATTTTGACCCATGACCAGCCCTCAGTCTTCTCCACCAAATAGTGCAAGTAAGTCAAGTGTCTAAGCTGCATAATGACTATAAAAACTTTTTTTAGCCGGAGGACTATGTTATCTAAAAAATTTACTCAATAAGTGAAGTATTTGTCCTACGGCAGAGACCAAGAATTGGCTAGTCATCTTCTCTTTTACTATGTAGCCTACAGTGGTCTCAATATTACTTCAAGTCAAGGCCCCTTATGATTTTCTCACATCCAATATTAAGTAGTATATAGGTACTGGTTCCTCTCAATTTGTTGCCTTTGATTCTTTTAATTTAGTTAAGACATTAGAAAACATAGAAACTTTAATATTCATTAACGAAACATAAGTTGGCAAGCAAAAGATTTGCACCTCTTTTAACATCCAAAAGATCCAAAGGGCATTCCATTGATCCAGCAGCCAATTTGCTGATTTCTTCAATTTGCTTCTCCAATAAATCTTCGAGATCAGCTTCAAAACTTGTTTCCTCAAGAAGAGAGGGAGATGAAGGAACCACAACTTCATCTGTAGGATTTGAAGCATTTAGAAATGCAGCAAAAAATGGATGGGTATCAATTTTTTCTTTCGATAGCTTTTTGATCAACTTGGATGGGACCGTCAAGGTTTCATCTTCGTGCTCAGGATTAAGCCATTTGATCTCAAAAGTGCATCGGCAGAACACCCTGTTTGAGTGTTTCACTCTAAATGGCTGCAGAAACAGAATATACAAAAGGAAATTAGCAGGATATGTTTTCATATAGTGTAATTACGGAATAACTTTGTAAAGTTTACTCTCTTGATAATCCTTCTTGCTATTTTCCATTGGCACTAGAGGCAATATGCTGAAAGATTTAACTAATACAAGCATGCAACTTAAACATTCTTCAGTTACTAGTCATGGGGAATCGCTAAGAAACTGAAGTACTGACATTCGAAATGTTCCTGATCTTTACAAGAAAGGTCAATACTCATTATAGAAGATGAGACTGAGAATGATGGGTATCACAAGGGGATATTAAAAGAAGAAATAGAAGTGATGTCACCACAAAAGATGAGGTAAACTTGACCAGAACATAGTGTGAACTCTTCAAAACTAAAGGTAGAAATGACCTTCAATTCTTGGATACAAGACATATTGCCCAAGTGTGAGAAATAATAATCTAATGTATTCCCTAACATAGGTTAAATTCTTATATTGTATAAAGTAAAAGAATCCACCTAAATTCATACAGGCATGAAGATGACAAGTATATGCCTCTTTAACCATCCGTTTAATATCTCAAAAAAATGAAGGTTTTCATTAGAATTACAAAGGATCTTTGGCATCAAGGACAATAGAGTAAGAAGACGTAGAAATGGTATAAAAAATAAAAGGTTTGAGAAATTCAAAGAAGCCTCCAATACATGAAAGAAATGTATCCCACATATTTCCATCCTTTGTATTGAACAGAGGAGATAATGAAATGAACCACCCCGCCAAAAAAAAAAAAAAAAAAGAGGAAGAAGAAGAAGAAACCTACCGAGTAGGAGTAAAAAAAAGTAACCTACTATAAAAGAGCTGTGATGTAGAACAACACCTTCTCTATCACGGCATCAAAGAACATGCTCTTAAATTGATCCTTGTACATGGCAAGAACATGATCACCTTCATTGATATGAGAGCATTCACCATCTTTAAGAGGAGATGACCGAAATCGCAACCGTGTTAAAGCATCTTCTTTCGTAGATATTACATCCTCCTCATTTGAATTATCGAAGTCAATGTTAATAACAAACTTGGAATCACTAGATCTGCATATGAAATTCAGTGGATTTAAGAGCTATGTGTCAGCATTTTCATATATCCGTATATACAAATATGAACAAACTTAATCCGGGTGCATGAATAGGTATGCATGGTTGTAGCTCAGATTGAAAACTCTTCTATGAGCTTTAAATTTTAGCTTGGCTGATAATTCTGCAATGTATCATGGAACCCCACCCCCGAGGGAAGAAAAGCAACTTCCACCTCCAAAACTATATGTATATATGTATATTTAGTTACTTCTGGAAGGATTTGACAATCAATGAAAAAATTCATACCGTTAAAGTTGATCTACATCATCTGAAGTGTTTTAAAACCTTTTAACATCCATCAACAAGGCATAAAAGTAACAGCTTAGATAGAAAGTTTGTTGGTCTATCGATGCATATTTGAAATCTAACAAAGATTGGTTTGTAAAATGTTTAAGCGCTAGGTCGACAAGAATGAAAAATGGTCAGAAACTGTGGATATGTAGGTTATAGCACGCAATTATGAAGTTCAAAGCATGCATATTTAATTCCCATTGGGTTGAAACAAACGAAAATGAACAAAAATTATGGATAATAGGTAATGAAATCACGAATTTTGAAATATGTGTACTTAATTATCAATAGGTCGAAAAGAACAAAAGTGGATACAAATTATGGGTATAGCTCGTGAAATCATGATCTTTGACGTACGCACATTTAATTTCCATTGAATTGAAAAGAACAAAAAATGTCCAAAATATTGTGAATTTTTAAATACACATAAACATGCACAATTCACTACCTAAACAAACAAAAAATGGACAAAATCATGAATTATCGCCCATGAAAATCATGAATTTTTAAGTATGCATGCTTATTGGGTCCAAATGAAAGAAAATGCACAAAAATCATGAGTTCTAATTGTCATTGGATTGAAATAAATGAAAATGAACAAAACATCATGAGTTATGGCCTATGAAATCGCAAAAATTTGAAGCACACAAACCTAATTGCCATTGGGCACGAAACAAAATAAAAGTGACTAAAATTGTGAGTAGTAGCTCATGAAAATTGTGAATTTTTAATTGTGATAATAAATTGTCATTGGGATGGAACGAACAAAAAAGTATAAATTTGTGGCTTATCGCTCATGAACATAGTGAATTTGAAAGTTCATGTACTTAATTCTCATTGGGTGGAATAGCGAAAATGGGCCAAACTAGTGTGTTAAACCCATCGAGAACCGCAAAATTTTGATATACACATGCTTAATTGCAATTAACCTAACCCTAATGAATATGAACTTTGTTGGTTATAGCCCAAGAATCACGAATTCTATAATATGTATACTTCATATCGCGTTGTGACGGTCGGTGGGGCCCGGGCAAGAATAATTGTGGGGGCCACAGCAGGCAATTTACAAAAGAATCATGTGTTAAAATCGCGAAATATTGCAAATTTTGATATACAGATACTGTAATTGAGTCGAAATGAATGAAAATGGAAAAATACGTGGGTTATATAGTCTGTGAAACTCACGAATTTTAAAAATACGCATATTCAATTCCCTTTGGGCTGAAAAGAACTAAAAATGTGCAAAATATGTGGGCTATAGCTCACGTAAATCACGAATTTTAAAGTATGCATAATTAATTATCATTAGGTAGAAACGAATGAAAATGGTGAAATATCGTGAAGTTCGAAATATGCATACTTTATTGCTACTGGGTCAAATGAAAAAAATTGTGAATTTCAGCCTAAGCAAATCATGAATTTTTAAGTACGTATACTTAATTGATGTTGGGTTGAAATGAATGAACACACACAAAAATCATAGGTGACCAATGAAAATCATGAATATTGAGGTATCTATAGTAAATTGCTATTGGACCAAAACAAAAGAAAATGGGCAAAAATCGTGGATTATAATCTAAAATCACGAAACTATAAAGTACGCGTACTTAATTGTCATTAGATTGAAACAAATAAAAGAGGATTGAATCATGCACAAGAATCATAGGTAACCCATGAAAATCATGAATATTTAAGTATCTATAATAAATTGCTATTGCGCCAAAACAAAAGAAAATGGCCAAAATTATGGGTTATAATCTGAAATCATGAAATTGTAAAATGCGTGGACTTAATTGTCATTAGATCGAAACAAATGAAAGTGGATAGAATCATGGGTTATAACCCATGAAAAATTGTAAATTTTGATGTAAGCATAACTAATTGTTGTTGGATAAAAACGAACGAAATGACAAAAATCATGAATTATATAGCCCCTCAAAATCGTGAATTTTGAAGCAACCATAATTAATTGTTATTAGGTATAAATGAAAGTCACCTCAAAACTACTTTTTCTACACATGCATACATCTACTACTTTAAACTTAAAAGAACTAAAAAATATTCATGCTACAATAAACTAATTTTCGGATGCCCAAAACAGTGTTCATGGTATAGTAAAATTTTGAACCTTGAAACATCTTCATGCTATGGTAAATTTTGTGATCTCAAAACCACTGTTTATTCTATGTAAACTTGGGTGTAAGTTGTATCTTATTATTTGGCTATTACAAACTTATTTTCATTTCCTAGACGTGTAACAAAGTTTTCATTTCCTACTATGTTGCTAACAAAGTGGATGTGCTTCCAAAAATATCTTATATATTCTATTTGTTATCCATGGTTTATCTTCAGTTGCAAGATTGAAGGTTGGCTTTGAAAATCTGATCATCAATTGTCAACTGTGATTATACCATTTGGCGTTTGTTAAATCTTATTATTTGGTTGTTTCGAACTTGATAGAGTAAAAAATGCAACAAAATTAACGATGTGAGACCAATCCTGATCAGATGTACAACACTAGGCCGTGCTTAGCACGGGATTAATACTAGTACATATATATAGACATGCATGCATATCATTTTCAATATACCCACTCCTTACTTTGTATCACATTGCTATATTGCCTATTATCCACCAGTTGTGCCCTTGATAAATTGCCACGACCATTAACTTCGCCATTAGAAACTTGGTAACTCCAATAGGTTTAGGAAACTAACTCATGTTTAATTGTTTGTGTTGTTTACGATTATGAGGTAGACAACCAAATAAGTGGGTGGATAAAATCTAATTTTAGAAATAAGATATTCATAATCCTAGTAAGTGTAGGATACATACAACGGTCGTCATCTCCTTCTACGATCTAGTTCATGCTTTAAACGGTAGTCGCGGGGTGATATACAAAGCTTGCACGGTGTGGTCGCCCTCCGGCCATTGATCAAGAAAGGCACAACGATCCTACAAAAACCATCTGTTGGGTAAACCATAAGCTTGTTGTTCATGTTCCTAGAAAGCATGCTAGGGTTTCTTTATTTCCGTTGTGCATAATCTAGTTGTAGATTATCCCTATTGTATGTGTGTAGTTATTCGGATCCTACAGTTTACGGTAACAAACAGTTGTTGTGGCTATTTCTCTTAAATGATATAGTTGAAAGTAAGCTTAACACTAGTGTAATTGTTGGAACAACTGTTCGTTAAAGGTCCAAATGCATCCTATCAAGCCCAATTATACATAATTTGCAACTGTACACAACGAGCAAGCCCTAACCAATTTCCAGCACGTGTCCTTCGAGGCTCATAGATGCAAGTGCGCTAAAGTCATCGTTGTGACTTAGTACTTTGGTTCTATGCATTGTTAACTTCATCTAGGTTTGGAATTTTGCCTAGGAGCTGAAAAGCATCGTTGGAACCATAAGGCGGCATAACTCCCTTCCATATTCTTTTTTTTTTAAACCAAAAAGCAAAACGTGTGAGAGTCCTTTTTGAAAGAATACAAGCAAAAAACTTGCAGTTTCGACCCAAATAAAATAAAATAAAATAGATCCATCATGGAGACTTACTTAAGTTTTGTTTATGGAAAATATGTGTTATCTTTTTTATCTAATTATAACATTCGTTTATTTAATGCATTTTCCAATTAGATGAGAAATTTGCTGACACAAATTCGCTACTAAACTATTTATCTATCAGACAATATAAACAAGGAGAAAAAAACAGATGCAATTTTTTTTCAGATTTCTTTGTCAAAATTAATAGATTTCTTTTGTCGGATATGTATAAAGGACATATAATATTCAACATGCCTTAAAGTTTTCTTTTATGCATGACTTTGTTCTGGAAATGAACCGTTTTTTTCCAGGTCCATGTTTCCACTAAATTTGCCTTTTAAACACTTCTTTCCAGCATAGCTGACAAACTATGAACAAATATCTCTTCTTCCTTTTTTGGTCGATTATCAAGTTATCAGTTAGATAATAATTGCAACTAAATTATCACAAAAATAGAAGAGTAACCTATGGTACTTGGATTGGTAATTTATGTTGTTCTAACACAAAACTCAGATCTCTCATCATACACTAACAGCATTAAATTTAATGCATTAATCCCAAAGTTTCCCAGAAATATATATCAGACCACTCAAAAAGAAGAACACTATTTCTAAGTAATAGACTAACAATCAAAACAGTTTAAGAGAAACCCGGTAACACATTTTGCTTGTAAAGACCTATGATCAAGCTAAACCCCATCAAAGCCTTTGCAACTATGGAGGTTTAGAGAACAGACCTCAGTGATACATGACAAGGGTGCTAAGAGCCCTTACTACATTTTCCATATTTTCCCTTGTTTTAAATACTTCTTTTCAGGCATAGCTAACAAACTAAGCATTAATATATCAACTAAGCATTAATATATCTTCTTCTCGCTTTGGTTATCAACTATGGTCAACAGTCGGAAATGCGCCGAAACATGAGCCTATGAATGTTGAGATCATGTCGGAATGCAACTATGAACAATCAAATCCAAGTGATCTAAAAACGGCAGATAGCGCTACTGTCCAAGTATAATAGAGTGCAACGAACTATGATGCTTGGACCGGTCGCACATAGACACGCACTACAATCTAGCTACAAGCCCCAGCAACAAGCACATTATTATAGTTATCGAAGAACATTAACTAAACCAAATGAATAATTTCCAAAAATAATTTCCCACAAGTCAAGATATACCAAATTTGCACCCAGTTAGATAATAAATTGCGACTAATTTATTACCCAAATAAAGAATAACCTATGGTGGACTACTTAGTGCTAACTTATGTCGTTCTAATACAAAATCAGATCTTCTCGTCGTGCAGTATAAAAAATTGAATGCATTAGCGCGACGTTTGTACTTCAAAACCCCAAACTTTACAAAAACTAAATCTCAGGCCAAAAGGTAAAACACTCGGGAATCAAGTCGTATACTAAGAATCCAAATATTTTAAGGGAAACCCAACAACGTGCTTCGCTCATAAAAACCTGCGATCAAGCTGAAAACCCCCATTAAAACCCTCAGAAATTCAAAAGTCCAAAGGATTAGGAAACAGACCTCAGCGAGACACGGCAAGGTTGCCAAGAGCCATTATCCTTGTGCTTGGCTTCGACCTCAAGAGATTCTCCATCGATCGATGCCATTACAGAGACGAATCGAGAGCTCAGAACACCCGATACAAAAAGCAAGATGAGCTGCAGAGCCCTGAGCTCTCTGCCTCCCTTTCAGACAAATGGGGGAGGACAAAAGAAAAGAGAAGCTTTATTAATTGAAAAATAATTTAAGGACCCAAAATATGAGACCAATAGGGGAACAAGTGAGGTGTCCTCTTCCTATTGGATAATGAGTTGGTCATCATTAATGATGGTCAACTCATTATCCAATAGGAGGGGGATACCTCACTTGTCCCCTTTATTGGTCTCATATTTTGAGTCCCTGTAGCAAAGCTCTTATTAATTTGGGATTTCTTCAGCTGTAGCCCTCTAAAGTTTTAAATTTGCATTTCAACCCTCGATGGATTGGACGCATGATTGATGTTGTCGTGAGCTTTTTGTGGGATGAAATTTCAACCCTCGAATGTTTGTCTTATGATCTAATAATGCTAGTGTGAATACTTTCCAATTTTTTTTCCCGTTACAGTAATCCTAATTTAATATCTATATTTTTTTGAATTGCTACAGTATTCCGTCTCGCAATATTCCCGTGTGCTACGGTAATTTTTTTTAAGAAAACCATAATGTCTGGTTTCATGTTGCCACAATAAATATTACTGTAGTATAAATAGTAAATATTGGATTCTCCCATTTGTATAGAGGAATAGATCTGTAAAAAAGGAAAACTTAAATTGCAAACAAATAGCTTGCAGTTTTATAGAAAATTCCGATTTATTAGATTCTGGGAAATTGCATGATAAAACTACAACATTTATGTAAAATCTAATGTTCACTGAGTTAATAAATGTAATTTAATAAACATGAGGTTTCGATTTAAAATGCTTAATTGAAGGACAAGACTTTCTATAGTTGTATTGGACCTTGACAATTGCCTACTTTGTGGGCTTGATAATGAATGTATGGGCTCAATTTTGTCCTTGGATTTATCTTCTTCTATCGAATTTGATTCAAACGTACAATAGATGTTTTGTTTTTTGTTTTAAATAACAATGTACAATAGTTAACTATAGCTACAGAGAAAATTGTAAAATAAGAATTTAGGCATTTTTTTTGCTGCTAAGCTATTAAATATGTCTCTGCTTATTGAACTATCAAATTTAGCGACTAGTTATCGCTTTCTCAAAAATAAAATTTACATAAAACAAAAGTCGTAGATTACGAGGACCCTCCTCCCAAATTTAGCGACTATTAAATATGTTTTTTCATTTTTTAATTATTTCCATCATTTCCGTTTCGGATTTTCTTTTGCTTCTGCATACTTAAATTTGCTTGAAATATGTTTATCTCCCCCTTTTTCTTTTGTTTTATTTTATAAGGACTTGATGACAATTATCAATTATAACTTAACTATCAGATTATTTGGTGAACAAAAGGGCCAAACTCGTAATTTCTTCGTCTCAGCTGGATCGCACTTGTGTGTGACGTGGCGTGGCAGTGTGGGTCGCTGCAGGCTAACTCGGCCTATGGGCCAGGTATTTTAAATAAAATCGGTCCGGCTTTAGGTCAGGCCAGATTCGGGCGGGGATTTAGGTAGGCCCAAGCCTACGATCCCGGGTCCAGTCTTGATTCTGCGTACGTTTCGGCCTGGGTGGGACGTGTGATGAGTGGGGTCTGCCCTGCTATGGGCCTGTCTACTTACGACCCACACGCGGCATCATCATACTGGGCCGCATCGTCTACTTAATTAACAGGCTGATAGAAGTATTATTTTTATCCTTTCCCTTGAGACAAATGGATGATTGGGAATAATTGCGGGAAATCATTTTGATGGCACGGATTCCTCTTTCTCAACGATATATCTCATTATCGAGACAATTGGTTAAGTCCCGTAAAACCATTTCATAGAAGTTTACTGATATCTTCTTTTTACAGAGTGGAATCTTTTTCTATAGAAAAGACCCGTATTTATAATGATGATCTTAACATATGGACAATTCATAAGGGGATCTAAAAGTAATCTCAAAATATTAAAGTTTCCAAGGGAAAAGCGGGAACTTTTTTTCCCCTACCTAAACTTCTTACTAATTTCTCAGCATTTCCAGAGATCCAATCATGGCCGGCCGCACGAGCGTCCGTGTCAACCCGTAACATGGGCAGTTCATGATAGAGTCCCACTAGGGGTATACCATGAACCACACTCTTAACCACACCCCAACACTATCTATAGTGCTAGTGGGCCATGCATGGCCCACTAGCACTATAGGGAGTGTTGGGGTATGGTTGAGAGTGTGGTTCATGGTGTGCCCCTAGCATTATTTTTCATGATATACGATGGCACTGAAATGAGAGCATGTTGATCAGAGAACGTTTCGACAACAAATTCACACGTGGGTGTCGATGACAAACCAAAACAGCAGGCCCGTATCTCTCTCAGAATCAAGCCCATTGGAAAAAAAATGCATAAATATTAAAAAAAAAGGACTTGTACAAAAAAATGCATATGAGGGGGGCGAGAGATACAGTGGGAGAAAATGTCTGAAGCCACCTTTCTAGTAGCAGCTTCTAGTGTCAGCCTCAGTGTTTTTCTTCTCCCTTCTCGTAGAACTTCATTTTGATGTTTTAAGCTTTCAAGGATGTCTCCTCAGAACTTCCAGTCTTTTTTTTTTGTTTTACATTTTGGGGAGAATACGAAACAAAGTAGATTTTCTCTATCCGGTGACGACAAGGTCCGCTCCCGGATGTTTACATCTCCTCTAGTTCCTACTCTCTTTCGGTTCTTTTGGATTGCTCATGTAAATATTTACATAAAATCTATTTTATATAATATATATCATGAACAGGGTTCCTCACCCTGTTTAAAATCTTCAAAAAAAAAAAAAGAGTGAATTAGTATAAAATAAAAATAACATATATCATCAAAAGAAACTAATCCCAGTTACCTAAAAAGGTTAATTAGGATTCACCTAATCCGCGTCTTATTCGAGGTTAAGAGTGAATTGGTAAACTCCAAGGGACGACATATGAGGGGGCGAGAGATGCAGTGGGAGAAAATTTCTGAAGCCATCTTTCCGAAAGCAGCTTCTAGTGCCAGTCTCAGTGTTTTTCTTCTCCCTTCTCGTAGAACTTCATTTTGATGTTTTAAGCTTTCAAGGATGTCTCCTCAGAACTTCCAGTCTTTTTTTTTTGTTTTACATTTTGGGGAGAATACGAAACAAAGTAGATTTTCTCTATCCGGTGACGACAAGGTCCGCTCCCGGATGTTTACATCTCCTCTGGTTCCTACTCTCTTTCAGTTCTTTTGGATTGCTCATGTAAATATTTACCTAAAATCTATTTTATATAATATATATCATGAACAGGGTTCCTCACCCTGTTTAAAAATTTAAAAAAAAAAAAAAACCGAAGGCAGCTTCACATAATAATAACGAATGTTACAAAATATGGATTTAAGGTAAAAAAAAAAAACTTAATTTCCCCCCGGGTTCATCAAACGTGGAAACGAGAACCGGTGATGAAATAGGAAAGAAGCCGGTAGCCAGAGATCAGAGCTGAGGCGGCCAGGAACATGAACCCCCCAAACCCTAAAGCGACCGATATGTACGCCTGTACGCAGAACGCATCCTCGGCCGCGCACGTGTCACCCCTCCTCAGGTTACGCGCTTCTCCGGTGCCGGACGCCTCGGCCGACAGCAGCAAGTAGGCGAGCACCTAAATTAAGCAGGTATATATTTTTATTTACAAAACTAATTAAGTTATGTTTATGATCAATCTAAGGCTCAACATCACCCACATCATCAACCACACCTCCTTTCCTGCTAAAGTGCAACGAGCCCTATATGAAATTTTTAAAAAAAATTCATATGGGGCCGACTGCACTGTAGCAGGAAAGGAGGTGTGATTGATGGTGTGGTTAATGGTGTGCATGTATCATTTTCCTTCTAAAAATATCTAAAAAAATAAATAAAATTTTAGATTGATTTACAATCTTCGCGTAAGACCGGTCTAACTTGTTTGGAAGTCAAGGGTATAAAATAGATATGGTGTTAACCTTGATATAATTAGGAGAGTGATCGACTAAGTTCTGTTTAGTCCACAGATTTTGTGCGACATCCACCACAATCACGTCTGAAGTTTAAATTTTATACGGACGCACGCTAAAAGCTCGACCACTAAAATATATAGCAAGGGAAATTTCTTTTCGAATGTTATGGAACCTTAAATCCTTTCAACTATTTGCTGAGAGCGCGGAATAACCTCATTTTTTGATGAGGGTTAATCGCGAAAGATCTGAGATTTTGGCTAATTGCATGTGCGCACTTTCTTTAAGATTTGGACAGGCGCCCGTAAGAAAAAGAAAGCACAATTGATCAAAGAGGCTATAGAGACTCGCAATCCATTTGATTTCTCATCAGGCCATGGCAGAGGCAGGGGTGATGCTACAGGGACCCAAAAATATGGGACCCTACATGAGACATGTGAGGTGTCGGCTCCTTATCCTATGATACACTGTTCATGAGACAGGGAGCCGACACCTCACATGTCCCATGTAGGGTCATTTAGATTTGGATATGGCCGTTGGTTCATCTCAGGTGAATGTGTTTAGTTTGTTTCACTTTGGGGCCATTGGAAGAGCTATCAGTTGCAGATTTATTAGTGAAGAGTTGTGAACTCTTCTACTGGATTAAGAGCCTTTGGAGGCCATTTGAGTGAACTACGTAAATGTTTGATTCCTTGGGCAAGAGGATACGTAGGCAGTCATTTATGATGCAACCGGTTTGGTAAGTTGATACCGACATTTGGAGTTTGTTCGCATTCTCGTTTAGGTTCTCGACTTGTTGTGGATTGAGTTTGTTGTCGTGAATTTATTTCACTTCGTACTGGACGCAACAAGTAGGACGTTTGGTTTGGTTGGTGTCGGCTCAGTTTTGGAAAAACTTTGCCAAAGTGAAGAATTGTAGAAACGACGAAAATATTGGAGAAGATCAGGAAAAATAGAGCTGACAGACATTCGGGTGCTCTCCGGTCGACCGCGAGCTTTGGCACGGTCGACCGGCAACATGCACGATTTAGTATAGTTTCTGGATTTTTGGCCGGTCGACCGCGACGATTTCGACGGTCGACCGCCAGACACTGTAATTGAATTTTGGGTTCTGTCGTTCTGTCCGGTCGACCGCAATTCGGGTTTGGGCCTGATTGTGGTTTCCTGTTCTGTTTGAGATTGATATTTGATATAAATAGCAACCACGTTTTAGGGTTTCTTTGGAACAGTCAATGATTTGTTTTGAGCACAGAAAAAGAGATCTTTCTGAGCTATTGGTTAGGGTTATTATTTGAGAGATTGAGAGTTTTGTTTGTGAGATTAGTTGGTTTATTTTGAGTGATTTGTAATCTCAGTTTGTACTCTCCTTCTCTATTAGTGAAAACTCATCTCCTGCTTGCCCCGTGGACGTAGGCAACTTGTCGAACCACGTAAAATTGGTTGTTTGTGTTTGTGCCGTTATTTTGGTTTGTTTGGTCTTCTCTCTCGGCGTTTGGTTTAGTTCCTCAAAACATAACGATTGGTGGCTTCCGCGCATAACACTCCTCACCCTCTATAGCTTGATTCTTTGTAAGTTTCTTTCATATTTTAAATACTATACAGTTATGGTGTCCATATTTTGGCATCCCTCTGTGTATGTATTCTATATCGTTTTTATTAGGTTAAATAGCACTTAAGTACCTTATAGTTTTCCTCCTTTAGCACTTAAACAATCTCAGTTGTGTTTTGTAGTATTTATACACCTGAGTTGTTTAAAATTAGCACATTAATACCATTTATCCTGCAAACGTGAAAATTTTTATCCGAAAGTTCCCATACAACATTCATATGCTAATTTTATGACTTTTTCGTCTATTAAGTTTGTTTGATTCATTACTAAATATTTCCAAATTCTATTTTAGAAATAGATTTAGGATACATTTAAATTAGAATTTGTGTAGGTTTGACAGTAATTTAACAAATATTAATGGTTAAAAAGATCTAAACTTAGCATATGAATGTCATATGTGAACCTTCGAATGGAAATTTTCATATTTGCGTAACTATGGGTATTAACGTGCCGATTTTGAACAACTCTGGGTATATAAATACTACAAAACACAACTGAGGATGAATAAATGCTAAAGGAGTGAATCATAGTTAACCTACTTTTAAGTGGTCTTTAGCCTTTCTATTGCTTTCTCCTTCCAAAAAAAATAAAAAATAAAAAATAAAAAATAAAAAATAAGTATAGTGTTACTTTGGGTCGACGGTAGCTGCCGTCTACTGTGCTTGCTTTCCTTTCACACGCGCTAATAGTACACAAGCAATAAAGGAAAACGACGAGGTGTTAAGTGCAAAAAGAATTAAGTAATTACTGAACCTGGTCGTGACTGAAGTCGAGCCAGAGCTGAAGCGCCTCCGGCAGCGGTGTGGTGCCCCTCAGGATCTCCCAGATTGCTGCCCCCATCTCGAGAAGCGAGTAGAGCGCCACGATCGCGTTCGCCGCGAGCACGAACCTGCGCACCAGATTTACCATTTTGCCCCCGCCCTCAGAAACATCTCTCAGCCGCGGTGGCACAAACCGTAAATAGGCCCAACTTTCAAAAAAAAAAGAAAAAAAAAAAGAAAGACCCAAACCTGAAAGAGCTCGATAGTCCTTTGCCACGCCGGCGAGTTCGGAGGGACCTCGCCGGAGTTGGCCGCCATGAAAGGCGGCGGCGGACTCGAAGGAGAAAGCAGAAGGAGGCCGCGAGCGGAGGAGGAGGGCGAGGAGCTTGAGCGGGCAGGGGGACCGCGGCTGGGTCGGGAGAGGGTGCGTGCGAATGGGAGAGGGGGGGTGTCGCGGTGGCGAGCTCGGCGGCGGTAGACGGAGAGGGGAGCTGGGTTGGTGGGGGGAGAGGGGCGGTTGGCGCCGTCGAAGGAGAGGGGTGGTAGTTTAAATAATGCATGGAGGATGAGGGTTAAGGTTAAGGGAGGCGAAGTTCATTAAAAGGTGAAATGGAGGAAATATAAAGAGGGTTTTTTTTTCTCCTGTTGGAAATAGGCTCGTGGAATCACGGTGTGCAGAGATGAGGGGAGGAGAGCGACATCATATTCACAGCATTGGGTTTTTTTTTTTTTTTTTTTTTGTCTTTCTTCTTTTCTTCACACACTTCTTTTCCTTTCACGGACTTGACTTTTGTTTTTTTTTTGTTTTTTTTTTTTGAGTTAAACTAGTCTAACTCAAGAAACTAATAAGACAATGTTTGGCAAACTCACTAAACAATCTCAAGTAGAGACAACATTGATCCAAACTCTTTGGTCCTTGTTCGGCAAAGTTTGGGCAAGACTTGAACTAGTTTTGCTACGCAAAATTTTGGTCTTAAACTAGTTATCATTTTATCCACCTATCATCCCGCTTTACCTTTAAACTTGTTTATCTCTCTTTTGCCAAACTAAGCTTTGTTTGGCAATTGCTTAAAACTAGACCCGATTTATCCTGGCCTTGGTTTTCCTTATTTTGTGTTTGGATAAAACAAGGCTAGAATTAACTCGGTTTTTAAAGCTAAAATTTGGCTTTTAAATGGGTCCCGGGTCCCCCCTCAAACCACCACTTCTATGGAACAATTCTAGCTCAGCTAGGATAAAACCGGACTAGGATCAATCCTGACCCAAATTGAAAGGTTTTGCCAAACTAACCCTAAGATCTGTCAATTTTTAACTCTCTATTTGGAAAGTTTTATGTTAATTAATGAATGCGATAATCAGATGAATATGATAATCTACTACTTGCAAATTACAAGAAGCTTTTTTTTTTTTTTGGGGGTGAGAAACTTTGAGCTTGGTTTCGTTTATTAGCGAATCAGATCTTTTGTCATTGACTTCGACTCCTAATACGTCAGTTAATAGTTGAAACATGCTTCGGTTCTCCAAAAATGTCGGTCCGCTGTTGCAGAGGTCGACGCTTCCAAGAGTTGACGAAGTCAAATTGACTTGCTTTGACCCTTTCAACACTGAATCGTTCAAACAGTACAGGCCACATTTTATTCTGTTGGGTCAATAAATATAAAAATTAAGACTTTTGGGAACCATGGAGGTTCAGAGTAAAGTCCAAGCCCAGGAATTTCGCGAACGGTACAAGTCTTCTTATATAAACTTGGGCATAAAAGAATATTTTTAGCATCTTAATAATCAATACTAATAGGAATAAATTTTTAGAAAATTATTGTCAAGAATGATGAAAGTATCTTACTATTAGAAAAATATTGGGAGTTAGTGGGTTATCAGTGGATTTGGATCATCTTTACTATAAAAAAAGTAGAAAAGAAACCCCTAATTTTTTATGAATTTGTTGATTGTCTAATTGATGGGTATTGTTTTTTTTAAGGGATGTTTGGTTCGTTTTTTAACTCGATGGAAACGTTTTACACCGCCTCCACATCAGAATTTTCGTGGCCACGTAGGATATAAGCTTTCCGTATATTTTTTTTTCCCATATTTGGTTCGCTAGGGTTGAAGAAGGGAAACTTGGTGAAAATCGCCGCCACATCAGATTTTTTTTCTCTCCCCCAATTCCTTCCTCAACCTCGTGAAATCGACGAAAACTGCAGCCACGTCGGCTTTTTGCCATATAAACAAAAGTTTTTCTTTTTTTTTCCATGCGAACCAAACACAAGAAAAATAAATACAGTGGTTTCCCACCATTTTTTTGTGCGAACCAAAGCGAAACAATCTATTTCTTGGAAAAGTTTGAAAAACTCAAAACTTGTGTTTTTATACATGGAAATACATCTAAAAAACGAACCAAACAGCCCCTTAGTACAAATTAGGTACGAGTCCAATACATGGGGATATGATGAGTGCTAAATTTAGAATGAACCTCAATCGCTTACTTAACAATCAATAGTTAGTATAAAAAGTAGCTGTCTCTCTACTATAATTTTTTTAGTGAAGAGGATTTGATAAATTCTATAAAATAGGTATGGTATCCCAATTGTTATACCATTCTATTTTAGCCGACCACTTTGGTGCTCCCAAAAATTACTTGGGAGTTCCGATGGTAGACTATGTAAATATTTAGCGGAAAAATCACTCATTCATTTTCCTAACTCGACGCTGCATAATAACCGATTTGTTGTTGGGAATATGAATAGAGTTCCACTGGCACTTCTGTAATTAAATTTACTTTTTGACCTAATTTGTTGTCTTTTCTTTCTTATTTCTTCTCAGGGGCTGTTTGTTTGCCAAAAAAAAAGAAGAAAACTGGTCATGTCACCTTTGAGGAAACCCCCCCTATCCACATCAGCTTTTGGTTTCAACACATTTCCATTTCACATGTTTGTTTCATTTTTTTATTTAAGGAAATGGTGATGCCACCTAGGATGCCATATCACATTTCAAAAAATGTGTTTTCACAACAAAAAACTGTGAAAACACTTGGAAATATCACATCAATGAGTTTTTAATTAATAGAAGTACTGTTGGAGAGTACCATGATGAATAAATTCTTTTTTTTTAATGAGTCATTTCTCTTTTCCTTTTTCTTCTTGTTAAACAAACTAAAGAAATGGAAATCAAAAGCACTGTTACTATGGAGGCTTTTTTTGTTTTTTGTATGACTTGGCAGTGAAAAGGTGAGGTTTCTTTGCGAAACAAATAAAATAAAAGAAAACAGGGAAACCTCTTGATATGTGTTGAAATCATTTCCAAAGAGGGTTTTCAATTTCCCTTTTTTTTGTGGAAATAGCCAAACCGGCCCTCAAAATTAAATGCATTACTATCCTATTAGGCAAAGGGGATAAGAAAGAGGATTTAAGGAGAAGGATTAACAAAGTTAGCTCATTCAATTAATTCGAATGACTAAATTATTAACCCGTTAAATAAGTTTTATGCTAGTACTTGTGATCGTTTTTAATGTTTGGGAACAACAAGGATTTTGACTATGAGGGTGTTTGAGGCGGCTTATTTTTTGGTCAAATTAGCTTTTAAGCTAGCTTTTTCATTTCTACCAGTTTAGTAAAATATAAAATAAGTTAGCTTATATGTTACATTTCAAAAGGTTGGTATACCTCAGCTTTAAAAAAACTAACTTATAGCTTACCTAAATAAGTTAGGTTTGACCAAACAAATTACTATACTACCCAAAATAATTTTTATAATATTTTTATCATGAAAGCCAAAAGTCATTAAAAGCTAGCATAATTTATAAGCTTTAAAAAATAAGCCTTCCCAAACACCCTCTATTTTCTTTATAAATAGAGAGCTAACTCTTTATTCTTCTAAATAGGAGTATTAATAAATCCTTCATTTTAAGAGTTAACTCATTATAATTCATCTAGAGGGCTTAACTCAATCCTTTTGTATTTTTTACGTTTGGCAGATTATAAATGGTCAACTCAATTTAACCCTCGTATAGATGTTTTTGTTTAGCAGGCTAAGAAAAGATTAAGTCTCTTTAACCTCTCATTTAACTTGTTGCCAAACAGCCCCTACATGCTTGCGGCGCCCCTTAACTGTGTAATGCAAATAGAGGTGGTGACCACCATCTCCGTCG